AACCTTAACCTTAATCTCATGACTGTATCTAAAACAAAATGCAATACATAGAGACCTAATTGTGCAGGAAGCAGTTCTGTGAAATGATAGCTCTTGGCAGTTCAATTGAGTGCAAATGGAGAGAAGAATTCTATTGATATGTTGGAAATACTGATTTTTTAAATTCAAATATTTTTTCCATAGCTAGAAGGCCATAGTAGTGGGTCAATCCATATCACATGACTTTTATCCTGTTTGGTGCTTGCCTTGGGGATGAAGTGCACAATGCTTTTGTACAGTTCTGCCTATAAATTCATTCACTGATTGCATTTATCTTAATTGACTTTGACATTGAGATAGGGAAATGAAATCTTAATAAAGTAGACATTCTCATCTGACTACAGAAGTGGACACGGGGTAGAATTACATTGTCATTATCTTGGCTTGTGTTTTATACTGAGTATCTTTTTTTAAAAAAATGTAGGAGAAAAATTTCAGAAGGAAAGAGCCATGGCATCAGCCCAGCAACACATGCTTTTCTGAGCTCCTGCCTTTCAGTTTCATGTTCCTTTATAATGGTATATTTTAATTACCTGGATCCTTTTCAATCAGGATTCAGGCCTGGGAGTGGAATGGAAACAGCATTGGTTGCGATTTTGGATGATCTCTGGTATGGGTGTGATGGTGGATGTGCATCCATTCTTACCTTACTTGACCTTTTAGCAGCTTTCAGTACCATCAACCATGGTATCTCTNAAACCCTTAATAAGGCTTCAGGCTCCAGTCCTTGTGCTATTTATCTAGAATTAAAGTCTATTGGCTTTAACTGAAGTCATTTCCAAAAAGGGCAAAGTCCAGAGAAATAGGTCATTCATAAATAAAGACTGCTAAACTTGTTTCTCTTGCTTTGCAACAATCTAGTAAAAAGTTGTGCAAACAAAGCAGATCTTTATATTATTGCAGGAAGCTCTTTGATCAATTGTAATAATCAAAATCTGTTTAATATGTTATCTTTATTCTTCTAAGACTGTCTAAATGGCATGAAACAAAATGGATAAGATATTTAAAGTAGCAATTTGAGGGGCACACATCAGAGAAATAAAGATAAGAGGTTTATTTGTAATTAGAAAGATCTTGATATCCAGGCAATTTCTTACCAATAAATATAGATCCTGAAGATCTATAAGAAAGACTTACAGATCTCCAAGAAAGGAAAATCAGTTAACAAGGTTGTTATCTAAATTAGGCAAAACTTTATTTCAGTGTTTGGGAAAAATTGCTATTTGGACTGTGGTGGGTCCTGAACCCCAGATAGCCTTCTCTACCTGAGAAGAGTATAATCTAGAATAGACCATTGGATAGCTAAAGAATGTTTAAAAATTGAATCAAATACATAAATAACAATTGAATCCAACAAGTAAGAGTTCATTTCTACTTGGGTGAGAGGTTCTCTAAAAAATAAGCCAATAGAACTTTACAGAACAAATAAATAACAATGATTTGTATTGCATTCCCCCCCCCCCCCTTGAACAAACTCTGGCAGCTTTTTAAAGGAAATTGTCATTCTAGTATCTTTTGAATGTTTTTTTTAGATTATTTGTAACTAAATTGGTCTTAGAAATGTCTTTCTTTTTCCTCCATAGATGTTAAAGCTGCGTAGCCTTTCTAGCAATAGCGCAGAAGATCCTCACTGTCCTTTAGTGGACAACTGGCGGCCTCTTCAGCCTCTCAATACCAGGATGATACGATCAACATGTCAATAGACTTTCTACTACAGTTGCCATCTTGAGTTATGAAGATCTAAGGTTTTACACTCATGTTGTATATCGGTGGTTCTTCCTTTGGATCTATGCTGTTGAGCCAAAATTTTTAAGGAATGAAGCAGGACAAGTTATTAAATGAATATAACTTCTGGAGGAGGAAAAAAATAATTATAGTAAAACTTTAACTTGTATATTGATATGCTGTGGACTCTCTTCAGATGTCATATACCATATGCCATGATGTTACAGAGACTGAGCAGGTGTATCAAATGCTTCCTTGCTCAGCCTTACTCATTTGGCTGTTCCTGCCAACCGAACTGGCTAAGCTGTTTTCTGCAACCAGATGTCTTTTCCATGTGTGGGTTTGCAGCTTACAGACATCTGAGAATTGCAGTTATAATGTGTCAAGGCTTGTTCTTAGCTTCAGATTCTGGCTTGTGAGTATTGCAAACAGCCTTTAATTTGATATACTGATAAAAGTTCTGTGATTTGTTTAGCCATTCCCACTAGAAGGAGAAGCCATCAATCCATATCTCTATGCATTTGCTGAGTTGCTATAATTTCCTCATATTATAGTGGTAACAAACCAGCTGTATGCAATCTTGAAATATTTTTTTTCTTTCCCCCTTTCACAATTTATTAAAATGTTCTTAATTTAAAACTGGTCAAATTCCACTATGATTTATACAAATTGAAATTGGTGAAAGAGGATTTATTTCAACGATAATCAAGCCTTCTAAAGGTCATAGGAAAAAAATAATATTCACATTCTATTCTTATACCAAATTTTCTTGAAAATCCTATTCATTTTAGGGAATTTGACATTGAAAAAAAATATATGCTGTTAAATAATAAAAAAGAAAATCACCCCAGCATATATTTACAGCATTAATTTATCTTTCTTGAAATATAAATTAAATGTTCAAATAGAAGACAGGATGAGCTATAGAATTCATATTTTGTCCTATAATCGTTTAACTTTATTTCATTCTAATTATGAATATTTTGAACACTTTAGATTTGCTTAATATGAAGATAATCTCAGAGAATTGAAAGCAAACTTTTTCTTTTAAATTAAGTACGATGTATTCAGTTTTTAGTTGTGCTGTATTGTAACATCCCAAATAGTAATATTCTGATCTTATCCTCATTTGATTATTTAGTTATTCATTTTGTGGCAATGCAGATAGTGTGCATTATATTCAGAATTACTGTTATAAATGGGAAGAAATTTCATAATGCAATGATATTTTCACGGCATCTCATTTTAGATTTGAAACCAGTTATGAAATGGAAAATATAATAAATCCAGACTTTTCAATGTCAATATTACATTTTTTTCCCAAATAAACTTTTATATCTCCTATGTGCTGTCACATGACATTTCGTGACTTTTTTCCCTTCACGGAGCTGGTGTGGGCATGACCTACGCATGATGCATCCAGCCCCGCTGGCTGGCAGTTTGACACCGCTGTCTTATGTATATGTAATTAGTAACTTATAAGCATCAGAGTATTTCTTCCAATTTTAAAAATTGGTAAATGGATTGTTTCCTTCCAAATTAAAAAAAAATCAATTTGTCTTTGCATTGTAGCACTTAACATTTCTAAAACATACATTAAAATCTAAAATATACATTAAAACATCTTTTTAAAGCTACTAGGAAAACAACAGTGTTTGGGAATAATGTCTAAACCTCTGATAATTATTAATAAAATATTGGCCTGGGTTCTTTTTCTTTCTTGCTTTGGTTTTACTTTGCAAGGAAAGCATTTCAAACTGTACTGTATGATGGCAATATACTTGCTTTTGTAAAACAACAAAAATAAATCTACCTTTCAGAACCAACATTTTCAGATTGTTTTTCCTGACCACATAATTAGAAGTCACAAAAATAATGCTTGGTCTTGAAATCTAATTTTAGTGTCCTCCATCAATAGACAATGCACATGGACTATTCTAAAAGAAAAAAAAACTTCCAAAAAATTACAAGGTCACAAAAATTATCCAAATTTGTTTACTTCATTTTACTCTATAGGACAGTTTCATATTTTTATTAAGTTAAATATTTAAGGAATTTCCTTTTAAATACTGCCTGTCAGATTCCCCCCACAGGTGAGGGGAAATACATTTATTTATCAATATTTATATTTATAATTCACATTTAGCAACCAAATTTCAATTTCACATGTGCCAAAAATACTTTATAAATTAATCCTATACACTATACTGTCTGCGTTTTCTAAAATGACAATAATAAACAACTGTTATGTCCATACAGATTTTGATGATTTGATCAAGAACAAAATTTGGGAGGCTACACGGCAATTCTCAAATTTTGCTTATTGTCACCTCTTCTACTCTTTCAAACACCCCCCCCCGTAGGCTTTGCATTCACCCTTGCTACATTTCCATCTGTACATGGGAACAAAACCAAACGTATTNCGGTTCTAAATGGCACTGTAGATTTGTGGAACCTCTTCTATAGAAGAGGTTAGAACTGACAGGAACCCACCCCTGGTGTCAGCATACAGATGAGGATATCTGTGTAACCAGGATACATAGTGGTTAATGCAGCACTCTTCTTTTTTAAAATGAAAATGGAAATTGACTGGGTATATTTAGGAACAGAAGTGTTAATTATATATAGCATATAGATGCATATACGTTTGTCCTGCATAAAAGTTGTCCTGACTCACAATATGTAACTTGTAAAAAACATATTATATACTATATATTTGTTTGCCAGTCATTATAAGTTGATACATTGAAAGCACCACTTATAGGGATTTTTATAGTATTTTGATTTTATGAAAATTGTTCTTATGAAAATAATTAAACTATGGGTGCTCAATATATTTTATATGCTTCCAAAGGTGTGTGATGACTCTTTTCACTTCTGCTTGGCCACTACTCATGTTGTCTGAGAATAAGTATTATAATCTGTAAGATGCTCCAAGATAAGGTGGAGAAAAATAGTAGAATGAAAACCATTTAATGTATATTTGGCAATTTTGTGAAATCTTACCTTTTGACTCTATCATTTTAAACATTTTTCTAAAAGAACAAAAACACTTACTGCATAATACAGGGTGTTTCTGGTTTTTAACATTTTTTAAATGTTTAAATTGATTTTTATTGATTACCTGGTAGTGAGAGTCAGATGGCTTCTGGGAAATGAAGAGAATTTTATGAAATTTCACCAAGTTCTATTAAGGCTTTTTTTGATATCAAACTATAATGTTTCCTTGTTTTTAGATTCATTTGGTACATTGGAATTCCTTCTATAGTAATTATGCTGATGCTTTGAGAAAAACTGATGGTGTGGCTATTATAGCCATTCTAATGCAAGTAAGTTCTGATTGCTATTTTCTTATGCACATTTTCACAATAATCTTCAGCTGTGGCTCTAAAAATTGTATCTGCTTTGAACAATGATGCTTTCTGTTTTTCACTATGCACCACATACCTTTGTTAGGAAAGCTNCTTAACATCATACTCTGCTTGGATGCCTTCCTTGCCCCCAATTCAATACACTGGTGCTTGCTCAGTTTCAAAAGTGAGAAGTTCAACCCTTTCTTGTATGTGAAATATTCCACATATTTCTTAAGTACTATTATATTTCCTAATAGGCTTATTTTCATGGTAAATATCCCTAGTCCTTTAACTTTTCCTCATAGGACTTGATTTCCAAACCTATTATCATCTTGACAGCTTCTCCATGTTTCTTTTAAAATGTGGTCCCACCCTATACCCTATTCCAGACTAATCAAGGCACAGTATACTGGAACAATATGCATTGTGGAGTCAAAACCTAATACAGACCCATTTTTATTGGCCTTTAAGTTGCTGCATCAGATGATTCTGGTGGTGTTGAGAAACATCCAGCCAGACAGGCAGGAAGGATCAAGTGAGGAATTAGTCTTGAATCATTGTGCAACCACAAGAGATCCAGGACTGACTTGCCCCAAGCTCCATGGAATCTTATCTCTCCGTACCCAAAGGAAGGCAAGCAGTCTGGGAAGATTCCTGTATTATGGGAAGAATAAAATAAAGTAGTTAGTTTGAACTCTACATATCAGTATGTGGATCTGGTACCTGACAGTGGCACATTTGTATGCTTAGATCTTTCTTACATACACAATTATTAAGGCAGGTCTCCCTATTCCTATGCTTATATATTTGGTGTAGGACCTTAACCTCATCAGAGTGGACCATCATCCTTTGGATATGATTGACTGCTCATGCTTTTTCAATGTTATTTTGAATTGAGATATTGTCCTCCAAGGTATTGTCCCATATGCCTAGCTTGGCTCCATCTGCCAATCTGATAAGCTTGATTTTGGCAAAATAATTCACTAACAAAACCAACAACTGGAGCTGGTCCAAATGATTGTTTATCCTAAATCTAGCATGTTACCCGTGAATCACTAAGTCACTTGGACCTGAACAGGCCAAGAACAAGACCCACAAGGTTACATAGATCTTATAAGGAATATAGATCAAAGATAGTTTGAGCATGTATACACACTATAGAAGATATTAAAAAGAGAGAGAAAATGCTTTACAACTGATAAACAAGATAACTAGATAATCAAAGGGAGACATGGTATCTTCACATGCTAAAACAAAACAAAACAATACAATACAAAGCACAAAACAAAACAAAATATTTTCTTCTAGGTTGAGCTTTAGTCCTTCTGGCTCCATCCTACAAGTGTAAGTTATCAGTCTACATTCATCCATAATGTATTCTATACATTTTCTTTGTTTATCAGTTGTAAAGC